AATCAACAAGAACACAAGGTGGTAGAATCCATTTAAACAAGACACACTTTTGTTGAGAGAAAAAATAAATAAAAAAATAAATAAATGGTTGTCTTGGTCAGTGACATTGGACATAACCATAATAACCAGGTACATTACCATGATTCATTAAACAGGTACAGTTGATAGAAAATCCCAAAACATACAATCAAAACACCCCGTTTGTCAGTCAGTAGAATATGTTATTTTTTCTTTTTTTTCTCAGCCATCGAAGTTAACTGCACTGATACTAACTCAACACAAACCTAATGGACAGAGAAGTACATATAGAGGTATAATCTATCGACTCTATTTCTATGACCACCACACTCAGTTCTGGACAATGGCCTTGGCATTAGCCTGTAAAGCCGCCAAGGCTGTATGACATGGGCTCTGGGACTGACTGGTTCCCAGTACAGTAGGTTGTCTCACTAGCCTGAGAAGAAGCAGAGTCAAATTAATAGCGATACTGCAAGTTTTCACCTGTGTGTGTGTGTGTGTGTGTGTGTGTGTGTGTGTGTGTGTGTGTGTGTGTGTGTGTGTGTGTGTGTGTGTGGGAGAATGGTGCCCAAATCGGTGGACATCGGTGGACGTGTGAGCATCGGTGAGGGAGGTGAGTGATGTGGTCACAACAATCATTTTCACTTTCGTATTATTTGAAAATACAAACGTAACCCTTAGAAACTGCAAAAATAAACAATGGTATTGTCATGTCACTTTTTAACCAGTGAGGATTTGTCTGCGTTACGTGTACATTTATTGACTTGTAAAACAACAGCAACAATAACAACAACAACAACAACAACATGTATCATAGAACAATATTTAGGAGAGAAGAGGCTACCACCATCCGCTAGGGGGTGAGGATACGAGGGGTTACATTAAGGTCATCAAGAGCAATACAAGTAAACAAAGAATATAAATATCTTTGCTTTAAATTCACATCAGTCTGGATTCCCTTACACGTGACATAGAAGACCCATAATACTACAGGTGCAAATGACGACGGACACTGCAAGGCTGATGACGGTAGACTATTATTAGACTGGATGCAGCACGCACAATTACAGACCGAAATGATATCTCTGCTCTGGATTGGTAGTAGTGTTTAAATGGACCAGACTCAGTCTTTTAGCTTGGCCTAGTCCTACTCATGACACCTGGAGACTTCTGATGCATCGTTCAACATCGCAGTGTAAAAAGAGGACCTGTCTGGATACCAAAACGTAAACACATTCCCAACCATCCACAATGACACATAATGATACACTCCTCCCACCGAGGGCTTTGTTCATGTTGAATTGCTTTGTCAGAAGAGAGAGTAAGAGTTTTCTCTTTACATGAGACACACACTGATATGACAAAGGTAGCAGAAGATTCCAATGAAGAACCTACAAACAACAACACAACGGAAAAAGAGAATATCACAATTCAAAACAACCAGAAACTCAGTCGACAACGAAGGAAGCCTATCAACGACCACACCGAAAGGTTGGGCTCACCTAATCTCATCTACAGCAAACATCATTGTTACCATATAGAATAGTTATTTGCAAGTTTACAGTAAGGAGCTTGGCCAGTATTGATTATATGGCACGTTAATCATTTTTAATAAATATAAACACACTCAGTCACAGACCACTATCACTACGACCCCTCAGCCAACACAGACCACTATAACCACGACCCCTCAGCCAACACAGACCACTATCACCACGACCCCTCAGCCAACACAGACCACTATCACCTCGACCCCTCAGCCAACACAGACCACTATCACTACGACCCCTCAGCCAACACAGACCACTATCACCACGACCCCTCAGCCAACACAGACCACTATCACCTCGACCCCTCAGCCAACACAGACCACTATCACTACGACCCCTCAGCCAACACAGACCACTATCACTACGACCCCTCAGCCAACACAGACCACTATCACTACGACCCCTCAGCCAACACAGACCACTATCACCTCGACCCCTCAGCCAACACAGACCACTATCACCTCGACCCCTCAGCCAACACAGACCACTATCACCTCGACCCCTCAGCCAACACAGACCACTATCACCACGACCCCTCAGCCAACACAGACCACTATCACCACGACCCCTCAGCCAACACAGACCACTATCACCACGACCCCTCAGCCAACACAGACCACTATCGCCACGACCCCTCAGCCAACACAGACCACTATAACCACGACCCCTCAGCCAACACAGACCACTATCACCTCGACCCCTCAGCCAACACAGAGCACTATCACCACGACCCCTCAGCCAACACAGACCACTATCGGCACGACCCCTCAGCCAACACAGACCACTATCACCACGACCCCTCAGCCAACACAGACCACTATCACTACGACCCTCAGCCAAGACAGACCACTATCACCACCACCCCTCAGCCAACAGAGACCACTATCACCACGACCCCTCAGCCAACAGAGACCACTATCACCACGACCCCTCAGCCAACACAGACCACTATCACCACGACCCCTCAGCCAACAGAGACCACTATCACCACGACCCCTCAGCCAACACAGGCCACTATCACCACGACCCCTCAGCCAACACAGACCACTATCACCTCGACCCCTCAGCCAACACAGACCACTATCACCACAGCCCCTCAGCCAACACAGACCACTATCACCACGACCCCTCAGCCAACACAGACCACTATCACCTCGACCCCTCAGCCAACACAGACCACTATCACCACAGCCCCTCAGCCAACACAGACCACTATCACCACGACCCCTCAGCCAACACAGGCCACTATCAGCACGACCCCTCAGCCAACACAGACCACTATCACCACGACCCCTCAGCCAACACAGACCACTATCAGCACGACCCCTCAGCCAACACAGACCACTATCACCACGATCCCTCAGCCAACACAGACCACTATCACCACGACCCCTCAGCCAACACAGACCACTATCACCACGACCCCTCAGCCAACACAGACCACTATCACTACGACCCTCAGCCAAGACAGACCACTATCACCACCACCCCTCAGCCAACAGAGACCACTATCACCACGACCCCTCAGCCAACACAGACCACTATCACCACGACCCCTCAGCCAACAGAGACCACTATCACCACGACCCCTCAGCCAACACAGACCACTATCACCACGACCCCTCAGCCAACACAGACCACTATCACCTCGACCCCTCAGCCAACACAGACCACTATCACCATAGCCCCTCAGCCAACACAGACCACTATCACCACGACCCCTCAGCCAACACAGACCACTATCACCTCGACCCCTCTGCCAACACAGACCACTATCACCACAGCCCCTCAGCCAACACAGACCACTATCACCACGACCCCTCAGCCAACACAGGCCACTATCACCACGACCCCTCAGCCAACACAGACCACTATCACCACGACCCCTCAGTCAACACAGACCACTATAACCACGACCCCTCAGCCAACACAGACCACTATCACCACGACCCCTCAGCCAACACAGACCACTATCACCACGACCCCTCAGCCAACACAGACCACTATCACCACACAACCTCAGCCAACACAGACCACTATCACCACGACCCCTCAGCCAACACAGCCCACTATCACCACTACCCCTCAGCCAACACAGACCACTATCACCACAGCCCCTCAGCCAACACAACTAATTTCCATAACCGTTCACACGTTACACATTTATCTATCGTCTGTGTTCATACATTTACGTCAGGGGGCTAAAATGTTCATTTTTTAGCTGACAGGTAAAGTAAGTAGCAGCAGCCAAAATAATGATATGAGTGCCAGTGGAATGGACAGTGCAGTTGTTCAGAATGTGTGGAGTGATACGTGTTGAAAAACAAGTGTTTTTGCACTGTTTAGACCACAGAGATCTTTGTGACTGTTTAGACCACAGAGATCTTTGTGACTGATTAGACCACAGAGATCTTTGTGACTGTTTAGACCACAGAGATCTTTGTGACTGATTAGACCACAGAGATCTGTGTGACTGTTTAGACCACAGAGATCTTTGTGACTGATTAGCCCACAGAGATCTTTGTGACTGTTTAGACCACAAAGATCTTTGTGACTGATGGTGAGAATATGAACAGCATCAGAAGCAATAATATTGTGTAAAGAAAGTGTTGATACTGATATGATATGTGTCCAGAAACCAAATTAAAGTAATGAAAAATGCTAAATTAAACATTTGGCTCTATAGCAATGCAGGTATACATTTTTTGTTTTTATATATAAAAAATATAACGTTTTTTTTTTTCATACTTTCTTTTGTTGGCTTATATTATGAAATACAATTATTATTTCGTATTTCTTAAAGTAGCATGCTGCTTTTTAATATGGCAGTTTTATGTTTTAAGTAGCATCCATTTTGTTTCATGCAGTCTTGTTGGTTTCTTAACCGTTAGAGTATCTACACATCAAGATCTGGCTAACCCACCCACACAGATGGACTGTCATCATCCACTTCCTGGGTTCCCCAGCCTTACCAACGTATGTCCTTGTCTGTGTCCATCTCAGTATAGTCTAGACAAGTGACCGCCCTCTGTCCAAGTGTTGTGACAATGATGTAAATGAACTGATGACCGATCTAGATATATAGAGATATCGCTACGAGAAGAGATGTGCATAGATTCTAGCTCACATATCTATATTATCTTTCTCTCGATCGCGTATCGATCTCTCGCCTCTCTCTCTCTATCTCTCTATCTCTCTCTCTCTATCTCTCTCTCTCTCTCTCATCTCTCTCTCTCTCTCTCTCTATCTCTCTCTCTATCTCTCTCTCTCATGATCCATGTCCCAGCCCGCTGTCCTGCCTTTAAAGTTGATACCATTTCTTGTCCTTGTGTTTCAGCATTATCTGTAGAGAACAGATAGAAGAAAGACATACAGACACAGGGTAAGGTTAGTATAACTAACTAATCCCCATGTTTCTCCGTCACACAACCACTAGCTGGTGGGCCTTGCCTGGTGGGCATGTGTGGAGAACATCTCTGCGCTGTTCATCATGAGGGCGGTGCGTTCCTCCAGCTCTCCCAGTCGCTCTCCTCTCTGGTCCAGGGCGATGCGGGCTCGGGCCAGGTCCCCCACCACCCCGCCGGCCGCGGCCTTCATGTTCTCCAAACCCATTGGACCAGGGATGTGCTTGGCCAGGCTCCCGGGAGGCCTTACCCGCTGCTGCCTCCCCAACTACAGAGAGATGGAGAGGAGGGGGATAGAAGAAGAGCTTTCTTTAATAGTAGATCGTCATTTCATTAAAACCTCAGCCCCCCCCACCCCCTAAAATAAAAATATACCAATATCCCCTGGACTGCAGACTCACCTTTCCCTCTACCCCACGATACAAAAACAACACCACACATCACAATAACCCAAACCTCACCACTTCTACAACCATATATCCAGACCATCTTTCCCAGCTATACACCATATCTCTTGAAACATCTCCACACTTTTTATCATTTTATAGAACTCAAATCCCACCCTAAGGCGCACAGAGACCATCCCATTAAATAATAGTAAAGGGTCTGTTATCCCCCCACCTTTGACCCTGTTCCTCCTTGTTATCCAAATAGCTAACTTTACCTGAGCAAACAGAAAATTCAACCACACACATTTAGCCTTTTCCTTATTTGAATACCTGAACCCCATTATAAACATCCCGACAGTAAACTCCACCCCCAACCTCTCACACAGACATTCCAACTGAGACATTAAAGGCATTAACCTGGCGCACACAGAAAACACATGATGCACAGTTTCACTCATGACACTGAAAGGACACCCCTGTCTGACTCCCGGTTCAACCCGTTCCAACCAGCTGTTAGTGGCCAGGGCTCCATGTAGAACCCTCCACTGGAGGTCCCCTGACCTCTTTGGTACTGGGAGTTTGTAGAGCCATCTCTCCATCTAAAACCCACCATACTCTCCCCCCCACATACTCCGCCCCGCCTAACAAGTCCTCCAGACCCCCTTGCCAGTCCCAAGTCTCTGCCGTCACGTGCAGTGGCGGTAACATTGGTGGCCCCTCCCCCTTTGGCCGCTCAAACACCCCCTTTACCGGCTCAGACAATGCCTCCTGGACTTCCCCCAGGAATCTATTGGTAGAGCATGGCGTTTGCAACGCCAGGGTTGTGGGTTCGATTCCCACGGGGGGCCAGTATGAAAAAAAAAATGTGTGCACTCACTAACAGTAAGTCGCTCTGGATAAGTGTGTCTGCTAAATGACAAAAATGTAATGTAATCTCTCCAGCAGCCTAAGAGATGTTAGTCCTGTTTGTTGTGCTAGGACTTCTGGGGTTTTCCACCCCTCCTCTCCCAGCAGTCGCAGGTCACCCAGCCTTAGTAATCCCGCTGCCATCAGTCGCCTCTGCAGGGTGGCCGACTGAACCAATCTCAAAAAGGATGGCTGGGTTGTGGAAGATAGGCTCCTCCCACACCCACAGCCCAAGCTCCACACCCCCTTCTCGTGTGGGCCTTAGTAGCTGCCAGGCCCTCAGCACCGCAGAGTAAAAATCAGAGAGACCTGCTCTACTCAGGCCCTCCAGCCACATGAGGAATAGCTGCCGGTCTAACCCTAATCCGCCAGCTCTCCTCAACAGCGCGCATGCTGGTTCCCTCCTTCCGACATCTGTATGGTACAGCAGTCTCTGCGCCGCCTTTAGTCGGAATGCAGCCACCCTGCTCTCCAGTTCCACCAGGCCCTGTCCTCCTTCATGTACGGACACATACAACACTGCCGCCCTAAGCTAGTGATTGCCCGACCAGACAAAATCCACCAGTGTCTGAAGGTAGACCTTTACGCACGGTTGTGACCCACTTCCTCAACCTAAACCGTTTCCGGGTGAGAGGACACCATGCCCCTCATTTTTCATAGCATGTTGTACTGATCTTACAAACTTTCCCGGATCGCAAAAAAAAGCCTCAAGATTAAAAATATTTCCCCTTAGTCTCATTCAGGAACCTTGACAGTTCCGTCACCGTGTACTTTGACCCCTCTGACTGACTGGCTGTCAGCTCTGGACCCATTGAGGTGGAGTCTGAAAATAAATCCTCCTCATCATCCTCTTCCTCAGACTCACCTTCCTCCTCCTCAACTCCATCTCCCATCCTGACCACCTGCCCTTCCTCTCTAGTCGGGGCCTCCCCCCCCCCCAGGACCAGGCAAAGGTTCCTTGGTGCCTTTCACCACACCAGCCTCTGCAGCCTCTCCAGCCTCTCCCCTCCCACCTCCTTTCTTCTCCCCCTTTTTCCTCTTCCGCTTGACACCCTCCTCCACCCCCCCAGTCCCTTAACCACCCCACTACACTCTCCTCATCCACTAGCATAACCTGACTAGTCCCAGCCTCATCTACACCACCATCTATAGCATGACTAGTCCCAGCCTCATCTACACCACCATCCATAGCATGACTAGACCCAGTCTCATCTACACCACCATCTATAGCATGACTAGTCCCAGCCGCATCTACACCACCATCTATAGCATGACTATACCCAGCCTCATCTACACCACCATCTATAGCATGACTAGACCCAGCCTCATCAACCCCAACATCTATAGCATGACTAGTCCCAGCCTCATCTACACCACCATCTATAGCATGACTAGACCCAGCCGCATCTACACCACCATCTATAGCATGACTAGACCCAGCATCATCTACACCACCATTTATAGCATGACTAGACCCAGCCTCATCTACACCACCATCTATAGCATGACTAGACCCAGCCTCATCTACACCACCATCTATAGCATGACTAGACCCAGCCTCATCTACACCACCATCTATAGCATGACTAGACCCAGCCTCATCTACACCACCATCTATAGCATGACTAGACCCAGCCGCATCTACACCACCATCTATAGCATGACTAGACCCAGCCTCATCTACACCACCATCTATAGCATGAGTAGGCCCAGCCTCTGCTGCCTGCGTCTCATGGCCTCCTGCACTTGACCTCGATTGAACCCTCACCTTGTCTACGGCTTTTATGTGGGCACGCAAAGCTCTTATGCTCCAAATCCCCACACTCAAAGCAACGTAGATTATCTGTGCTGGCAAAACCTGTGTAGAGCCCCTCCCCATGCCTCACTTTAAAATGCACATTTAACTGTTGCTCATTGTTATTCAGAAACATGAACACTTGCCTCCGGAACGAAACAACATGCTTGACGGCATCTGCCTGAAAACCTGCCGACAGTACACGAAAACCACTAGCAAACTTACCAAAACGACTCAACACCTTCCTGATTTGATCATCCGTAATAAACAGAGGCAAATTTGCAACTACCACCCTAGTCGAAGGGGTAGAAAGAGGAGAAATTGGCACCAACACACCCCTTACAAATATTTCCACTAAAACTTGCTTTGGCAATGTTAACATACGGCCGGCTCCTGAGTGGCGCAGTGGTCTAAGGCACTGCATTGCAGTGCTAGCTGTGCCACTAGAGATCCTGGTTCGAATCCAGGCTCTGTCGTAGCCGGCCGCGACCGGGAGACCTATGGGGCGGCGCACAATTGGCCCAGCGTCGTCTAGGGTAGGGGAGGAAATGGCCGGCAGGGATGTAGCTCAGTTGGTAGAGCATGGCATTTGCAACGCCAGGGTTGTGGGTTCGATTTCAGTATACAAATGTATGCACTAACTAACTGTAAGTCGCTCTGGATAAGAGCGTCTGCTAAATGGCTAAAATGTAAATGTAATGTAAATGTTTCCCATGCCAATAAAGCCCCTTGAATTGAAACTGAATTGCATTGAGAGCGAAAGAGAGTGAGATATAGAGAGAAATTGGTGAGATGGATAGGGACATCCATCTCACCATACTGTCCCTCACAAAATGTCTCTCACATACTGTCCCTCACAAAATGTCTCTCAAATAATGTCTCTCACAAAAATTGTCTCTCACAAACTATCCCTCACATACTGTCTCTCTCACAAACTGCCCCTCACAAATTGTCTCTCACATATTGTCTCTCACAAACTGTCCCTCACAAATTGTCTCTCACATACTGTCTCTCACGTACTCATTCACTGGTACACACATGTAACACAAACTAAAGCACACAACATCTAGAAGGTGACCTACACAACTCCTCTCTGTCTAAGGTCTGGATATTGCCCCCGAAAAAGCCCTTGAGGAATCCTTTGTTCTGGGCCTCTGGTGTTTCTATAGGAATGAACAGCTCCCCCAGCATGTCCTGAATCAACACACCATATGTATTAACACACACACAAAGACAGACAGATACAGAAAAAGACACAAACAGAGAATTAGACATAGTCATATTGAACCATCAGTTAGTGAGCTGATAACAACATCGAATCAAGAACTAGATTACAGTCATATCAAATTAAACACATAGTGACACAGTCATATCAAAATAAACACATAGTAACACAGTCTTATCGAACCAAAATAAGCACAACAGCAGATTACACTCAATATGTGGGCATGTAGGGATTGTAAGTTGGTTAAAATAGTTGATGAAATAGGTTTAAATGGGTTTAAAACGTCATAGGTGAATTGAAAAGTCATCAATTGTAAACCAATTTGAAAAGGAGGCTTGTTGAGAAGCATAACAGTGTTGGTGTTTTACTGTGCCATTAGATGGCAGTGTGGTTACGCAGCATGTTCAGTCATGTGGCTGCTGGAAGAGAGGATGCATGTCTGAAGCTGGATTACGCAAGCACACACACACACACACACGCACACGCACACGCACACGCACACGCACACACACACACACACACACACACACACACACACACTCCACCATGGATTCAGCAGAGTGGAGCTCAAACCACACATGACAAAGTGTGACATTTCACTTCAAGGGCCAATGTCACGATTGGGCTTTACCAAAGGTATCAACTATGGCGCCTGTATATTTACTGCCCCAGAGGCCCTGAGAAATCACTCTGCCATGGTTTCAGGATGCAATGTGCTGTCATGGCTACAGTGCAATGGGATTACCAATGATACACACACACACACACACACACACATGTATGTGCACTCGCATGGATTCCTGCATGAACCCACTCTGTTGAACGCTCACACAAACAAACAAGTTGAGGCACATTGTGAATTTGTTTCCGCAATTCACTAACAAATACGCTGCACAGACGGTGTGTACGGACGCACAAAACATTCACAGTGGGACAAAAGCACACGTGTAGACACAGATGGGCGCCGACCTGCAGGTTGTCCGTCATCTCCTGGCTGTACGTGATGCGCTGCATCTCCGTAGGGGAGCTCAGGTACAGAGCCTGACCGCCGTTGGTGAAGACGAAGGTCCGGGCGACACGCATGTCCGTCAGGGGAAGGTAGTTGACATTCATCAGGGGTCTTAGACTGGGCAAACTGGGAGGAGACAACAACACACACAAAAAAAAATCAACAACAACGTCCTCAAGGGTAGTAGCATTAGTAGTGATCCCATGTGCCTGTATGAATATGAAAGAACTGCAGGTATTTTTCTGTCCATGTCTTCAATGGGGTGTCATCAAGGGTATACAACCAAGACAGCTTCAAAACAGAGACAGACAGACTGTAAACCTGAGGGTCATGACGTGTCCGTTTGCGCAGAAGCAGGCCAGGCAGACGCTGTTGCAGACGGAGACGACGTCAGCCTGCAGGACGAAGGAGGACTCTGTGATGTTGTGTGTGAACAGTACAGCCTGGGTTGGCATGAGGATGACCTTGGCCTGTTTCTCGGAACACACCACGGCCAGGTGACCGTCCCCACACGCCTCCTGTGACGACAGAGGGGATAAGTTGACCAGCTTACGCCTGCGGGGCCGGTCTGGGTCCTCGGGGCCTTTGGGGTCCTGCCACACCTCATAGGGACTCTGGATAAGAGCACCACCAAAGTCCAGGAAGGAAAAGCACAGCACTGAGCCCTTCAGCATCAGGACGGTACCTAGGGGGGAGATGTGACTTTGGAGTTGTTGTTTTGGTAACGATTTACCTTCACTACATACCCATAATGCATTCATTACACATCCAGGACCCTGAACAGGTTCTAACCCCAAGCCATAAGACTTCTAAATAGTTAACCAAATAGCTACCCGGACTATCTGCATTGACCCTTTTTGCACTAACTTTCTGGACTCATCACGTACGCTGCTGTTAATGTTTATAATCTATCCTGTTGCCTAGTCACTTCATTCCTAGTAATATGTACATATCTACCTCAATTAAATCGTACCCCTGCACATTGACTCTGTACTGGTACCCCGTGTATATATCAAAGTTAACGTTACTCATTGTGTATTTATTATTACTTTTCTATATCTATGTTCTCTCTCTCATTATTGTTGGGAACAGCCCGTCATGAGGAATAATGGTCTAGGACTGTTTTTCATGGTTCGGGCTAGGCCCCTTAGTTCCAGTGAAGGGAAATCTTAATGCTACAGCATATGATGACATTCTAGACGATTCTGTGCTTCCAACTTTGTGGCAACAGTTTGGGGAAGACCCTTTCCTCTTTCAGCATGACAATGCCCCCGTGCAAAAAGCGAGGTCCATACAGAAATGGTTTGTCGAGATCGGTGTGGAAGAACTTGACTGGTCTGCACAGAGCCCTGACCTCAACCCCATCTAACACCTTTGGAAATCCGACTGCGAGCCAAGCCTAATCACCCAACATCAGTGCCCGACCTCATTAATGCTGTTGTGGCTGAATGGAATGAATGGGGGTGTGTCTATCAATGTTCCAACATCTAGTGGAAAGCCTTCCCTGAAGAGTGGAGGCTGTTATAGCAGCAAAGGGGGGGGGACCAACTCCATATTAATGGCCATGATTTTGGAATGAGATGTTGGACGAGCAGGTGTCCACATACTTTTGGTCATGAACTGTATCTATAGCGTATTCATGTAATGTTATGCTATAGCTCATCGTTTAGGTATCCTAATAGTGTCATCATTATGGTTGTTCTCAAATATGGAATAGACGACTATATACAGCTGTGGCCAAATATATTGGCACCTTGCACTTTTCTTAAATAATTCCCTATTTGTTCTCAAATAAGTCAAAAACATTAAGTAAAACTTGTCACTTGATTTTCAACATTGCAGAACAGATTTTATTTAGTAGTAGCTCCGGGGTGCCAATAATTTTGTCCATGCCATTTTCTTTCTTTTCTAAATAAAAATATGAAATTGTCTGTGAAATGTTGAAAATCAAATAATCAACTTATTTTAGATGAAATTATTTAAGAAATTATTTTTTATAAATGTGCAACGGTGCCAACATATTTGGCCACAACTGTATGTCTTATAGGGGTACAATGAAATGCATTATGGAAAATGTAATCACAGTAAATCGTTACCGTAGTTACAATCACCATTTTATATTCGCTTTTCTTCCTGATCTTTCTGTCTAATTTGACTAATTTATTTAATTTAATTTAGTTGAAATTGAATGAGGATGTACAGTGAGGGGGAAACAAGTATTCGATCCCCTGTTGATTTTGTACGTTTGCCCACTGACAAAGAAATGATCAGTCTATAATTTTAATGGTAGGTTTATTTGAACAGTGAGAGACAGAAGAACAACAACAAAATCCAGAAAAACACATGTAAAAAATGTTATAAATTGATTTGCATTTTAATGAGGGAAATAAGTATTTGACCCCTTCTCAATCAGAAAGATTTCTGGCTCCCAGGTGTCTTTTATACAGGTAACGAGCTGAGATTAGGAGCACACTCTTAAAGGGAGTGCTCCTAATCTCAGTTTGTTACCAACATAAAAGACATCTGTCCACAGAAGCAATCAATCAATCAGATTCCAAACTCTCCACCATGGCCAAGACCAAAGAGCTCTCCAAGGATGTCAATGACAAGATTGTAGACCTACACAAGGCTGGAGTGGGCTACAAGACCATCGCCAAGCAGCTTGGTGAGAAGGCGACAACAGTTGGTGCGATTATTCGCAAATGGAAGAAACACAATAGTACTGTCAGTCTCCCTCGGCCTGGGGCTCCATGCAAGATCTCACCTCGTGGAGTTGCAATGATCATGAGAACGGTGAGGAAATCAGCCCAGAACAACACGGGAAGATCTTGTTAATGATCTCAAGGCAGCTGGGACCATAGTCACCAAGAAAACAATTGGTAACACACTACGCCGTGAAGGACTGAAATCCTGCAGCGCCCGCAAGGTCCCCCTGCTCAAGAAAGCATATATACAGGCCCGTCTGAAGTTTGCCAATGAACATCTGAATGATTCAGAGGAGAACTGGGTGAAAGTGTTGCGGTCAGATGAGACCAAAATCGAGCTCTTTGGCATCAACTCAACTCGCCGTGTTTGGAGGAGGAGGAATGCTGCCTATTACCCCAAGAACACCATCCCCATCGTCAAACATGGAGGTGGAAACATTATAGTTTGGGATGTTTTTCTGCTAAGGGGACAGGACAACTTCACCGCATCAAAGGGACGATGGACGGGGCCATGTACCGTCAAATCTTGGGTGAGAACCTCCTTCCCTCAGCCAGGGCATTGAAAATGGGTTGTGGATGGGTATTCCAGCATGACAATGACCCAAAACACACGGCCAAGGCAACAAAGGAGTGGCCCAAGAAGAAGCACATTAAGGTCCTGGAGTGGCCTAGCCAGTCTCCAGACCTTAATCCCATAGAAAATCTGTGGAGGGAGCTGAAGGTTCGAGTTGCCAAACGTCAGCCTCGAAACTTTAATGACTTGGAGAAGATCTGCAAAGAGGAGTGGGACAAAATCCCTCCTGAGATGTGTGCAAACCTGGTGGCCAACTACAAGAAACGTCTGACCTCTGTGATTGCTAATAAGGGTTTTGCCACCAAGTACTAAGTCATGTTTTGCAGAGGGGTCAAATACTTATTTCCTTCATTAAAATGCAAATCAATTTATAACATTTTTGACATGCGTTTTTCTGGATATGTTTGTTGTTATTCTGTCTCTCACTGTTCAAATAAACCTACCATTAAAATTATAGACTGATCATGTCTTTGTCAGTGGGCAAACGTACAAAATCAGCAGGGGATCAAATACTTTTTTCCCCCCTCACTGTAGGAGGACAGAGAAGAACGTGCGCCCCACCCTGCGAGTCAGTCAGTCATTTCTCCATTACCATCACGTTGTAATGATGTCATGTCATAGTATTGTGTGGACCAGGGGAGACGTTGGTAGATAAGTGTTTTGGTGTCACAGAGTCTGCATTCCTTATGTCAAAGGAGACTACTGATGTTGATCTTAGAATAATTGATGGGACAGGATATTGTGACAGGGGTAAAGGGTAATAACGTCAAAGAAAGGCAGTGCCCATGGAGGTTTACCAGATGTCCGTGGAGAAACGTGTAGCAGAGTGCATATACGTTCAGATATCTTCTTTGTTCTGGAGTTGGAAGATGACAGAGGCAGGGCTATGTCCTTCTTCTGTTATAACTAACCACGGTACCATATTAAAATATCTTATATGAACTCCCCATCAAAAGTGTCTAAGTATATCAGTACATTCTTGATCACTTGATACCCTAGAAACTCATCATAACACATCATGTAATAAAATAAAATAGGCTAAAGCAGGCCACATCAAGGCTCTCCTTCCCCCAGAGGAGTCTCACCGCTGGGCCTCGTGGTGACAGGCTCCTCCAGCCTCTCCTTCTCTGTGGGGATGGACATGGGCAGTAGGAGGACCATTCCCAGGCTGGTGCCCACCCACAGGCAGGCGGTGGGCAGCGTGTCACCTTTACGACCGTATGACTCTCCAAACTGCAGCTTGGTCACCGCTTCCTTGGTGTCGCGGTCGATACTGGACACACTGGAGCTCCGCGAGCGGCTGAACGAGTTCTCTCTGCTTTCTGCAATACAGGAGACAGCAGGTTCAAGAAAAAACACTTATGTTCATACACACACACACACACACAACAGGAGCACACACACACACACACACAAACACACACATCACATCAAACACACATATTGTGTTAACCCGTTACCTTGCTACCCATTCACATCCTCATTTACATATTTCTAGATTTAGCCTCCTGCCTCCACCATTAAAGTATTCATGTATTGCTCAACAATGATTGTGCACTTCTTAATGATTTACGACCTCACTATGTGTTGCCTGCTGGCTGGGCTTGTGCACGTCATAACTTAACGTCTTCATAGCCCAAGGTTAATTATTAATGTTTTCATTCAAATAACAAATTGAACAAATTGGAAACGTCTCTAAGCATACTGAAGGCACTGCTCTACTCTGTCTTCACTAACCGTAGAAAAATAAAATATAAAAAATGCATCCAGAAAAATGAAAATAGCACCAATAATAGCAACATCACATCTATATACCAGTCTTATGATATTTCACAGTGTCTTGGATTATCAGACGAACAAACAACACTGAGCTAACACACAGTATACAGTTACAGTGGGGGAAAAAAGTTTTTAGTCAGCCACCAATTGTGCAAGTTCTCCCACTTAAAAAGATGAGAGAGGCCTGTAATTTTCATCATAGGTACACGTCAACTATGACAGACAAATTGAGAGAAAAAAATCCAGAAAATCACATTGTAGGATTTTTTATGAATTTATTTGCAAATTATGGTGGAAAATAAGTATTTGGTCACCTACAAACAAGCAAGATTTCTGGCTCTCACAGACCTGTAACTTATTCTTTAAGAGGCTCCTCTGTCCTCCACTCATTACCTGTATTAATGGCACCTGTTTGAACTTGTTATCAGTATAATAGACACCTGTCCACAACCTCAAACAGTCACACTCCAAACTCCACTATGGCCAAGACCAAAGAGCTGTCAAAGGACACCAGAAACAAAATTGTAGACCTGCACCAGGCTGGGAAGACTGAATTGCAATAGGTAAGCAGCTTGGTTTGAAGAAATCAACAGTAGGAGCAATTATTAGGAAATGGAAGACATACAAGACCACTGATAATCTCCCTCGATCTGGGGCTCCACGCAAGATCTCACCCCGTGGGGTCAAAATGATCACAAGAACGGTGAGCAAAAATCCCAGAACCACACAGGGGGGCCTAGTGAATGACCTGCAGAGAGCTGGGACCAAAGTAACAAAGCCTACCATCAGTAACACACTATGCCACCAGGGACTCAAATCCTGCAGTGCCAGACGTGTCCCCCTGCTTAAGCCAGTACATGTCCAGGCCCGTTTGAAGTTTGCTAGAGTGCATTTGGATGATCCAGAAGAGGATTGGGAGAATGTCATATGGTCAGATGAAAACAAAATATAACTTTTTGGTAAAAACTCAACTCATCGTGTTTGGAGGACAAAGAATGCTGAGTTGCACCCAAAGAACACCATACCTACTGTGAAGCATAGGGGTGGAAACATCATGCTTTGGGGCTGTTTTTCTGCAAAGGGACCAGGACGACTGATCTGTGTAAAGGAAAGAATGAATGGGGCCATGTATCGTGAGATTTTGAGTGAAAACCTCCTTCCATAAGCAAGGGCATTGAAGATGAAATGTGGCTGGGTCTTTCAGCATGACAATGATCCCAAACACACTGACCGGGCAATGAAGGAGTGGCTTCGTAAGAAGCATTTCAAGGTCCTGGAGTGGCCCAGCCAGTCTCCAGATCTCAACCCCATAGAAAATCTTTGGAGGGAGTTGAAAGTCCGTGTTGCCCAGCGACAGCCCTAAAACATCACTGCTCTAGAGGAGATCTGCATGGAAGAATGGGCCAAAATACCAGCAACAGTGTGTGAAAACCTTGTGAAGACTTGCAGAAAACGTTTGACCTATGTCATTGCCAACAAAGGGTATATAACAATGTATTGAGAAACTTTTGTTATTGACCAAATACTTATTTTCCACCATAATTTGCAATTAAATTCATAAAAAATCCTACAATGTGATTTTCTGGATTTTTTTTCTCATTTTGTCTGTCATAGTTGACGTGTACCTATGATGAAAATTACAGGCCTCTCTCATCTTTTTAAGTGGGAGAACTTGCACAATTGGTGGCTGACTAAATACTTTTTTTCCCCACTGTACAGTGAGGGAAAAAAGTATTTGATCCCCTGCTGATTTTGTAAGTTTGCCCACTGACAAAGACATTATCAGTCTATCATTTTAATGGTAGGTGTATTTGAACAGTGAGAGACAGAATAACAACAAAAAAATCCAGAAAAACGCATGTCAAAAATGTTATAAATTGATTTGGATTTTAATGAGGGAAATAAGTATTTGACCCCTCTGCAAAACATGACTTAGTACTTGGTGGCAAAACCCTTGTTGGCAATCACAGAGGTCAGATGTTTCTTGTAGTTGGCCACCAGGTTTACACACATCTCAGGAGGGATTTTGTCCCACTCCTCTTTGCAGATCCACTCCAGGACCTTAATGTGCTTCTTCTTGAGCCACTCCTTTGTTGACTTGGCCATGTGTTTTGGATCATTGTCATGATGGAATACCCATCCACGACCCATTTTCAATGCCCTGGCTGAGGGAAGGAGGTTCTCACCCAAGATTTGACGGTACATGGCCCCGTCCATCATCCCTTTGATGCGGTGAAGTTGTCCTGTCCCCTTAGCAGAAAAACACCCCCAAAGCATAATGTTTCCACCTCCATGTTTGACGGTGGGGATGGTGTTCTTGGGGTCATAGGCAGCAGTCCTCCTCCTCCAAACACGGCGAGTTCAGTTGATGCCAAAGAGCTACATTTTGGTCTCATCTGACCACAACACTTTCACCCAGTTCTCCTCTGAATCATTCAGATGTTCATTGGCAAACTTCAGATGGCCTGTATATGTGCTTTATTGAGCAGGGGGACCTTGCGGGTGCTGCAGGATTTCAGTCCTTCACAGCATAGTGTGTTATCAATTGTTTTCTTGGTGACTATGGTCCCAGCTGCCTTGAGATCACTGACAAGATCCTCCCGTGTAGTTCTGGGCTGATTCCTCACCGTTCTCATGATCATTGCAACTCCACGAGGTGAGATCTTGCATGGAACCCCAGGCCGAGGGAGATTGACAGTTCTTTTGTGTTTCTTCCATTTGCGAATAATCGCCCCAACTGTTGTCACCTTCTCACCAAGCTGCTTGGTGATGGTCTTGTAGCCCATTCCAGCCTTGTGTAGGTCTACAATCTTGTCCCTGACATCCTTGGAGAGCTCTTTCGTCTTGGCCATGGCGGAGAGTTTGGAATCTGATTGATTGATTGCTTCTGTGGACAGGTGTCTTTTATACAGGTAACAAGCTGAGATTAGGAGCACTCCCTTTAAGAGTGTGCTCCTAATCTCAGCTCGTTACCTGTGTAAAAGACACCTGGGAGCCAGAAATATTTCTGAATGAGAGGGGGTCAAATACATTTTTCCCTCATTAAAATGTAAATCAATTTTTAACATTTTTGACATGCGTTTTTCTGGATTTTGTTGTTGTTCTTCTGTCTCTCACTGTTCAAAGAAACCTACCATTAAAATTATAGACTGATCATTTCTTTGTCAGTGGGCAAACGTACAAAATCAGTTGGGGATCAAATAATTTTTTCCCTCACTGTATATGTGTTTCTACAGCTGGATATTCCTACATTCTCAGTCCACACAAGACAAGTGGAATAAGTTTCTGTGACAAATTAATAAGTTGATAAACTGTAATACATCCCCCCTAGGCTGCACTACAGCTGTTCAATGTTCAGCGCAATGCTATACTGCGCAACGACGCTGCTTGCTAGCATCGAGACTAGGATCAGAATGGCTTTAGTTGTCTGGTCTGTGGCCAGAGTGGCAGTCTGTGGTGTGTTTGTGCATGACTGAGCTTGTGGGGGGGTTACCTAATGAAAGTCACTCACAGTGGCACTCTGACAGGATGCGGGTACACCCAAGGGGGCCAAGCAGGGATTTAGTAGGAAGAGGGAGGGGAGGAGGAGAGAGGGAGGGAGGGAGGGAGGGAGGGAGGGAGGGCAATGCTTCAGCAACGGTAGACGCACATAGAGAGACGAGGACAGACACACATTATAGTGGAGAGAGGAGGACAGACACACATTATAGTGGAGAGAGGAGGACAGACACATTATAATGGAGAGAGGAGGACAGACACACATTATAGTGGAGAGAGGAGGACAGACACACATTATAGTGGAGAGAGGAGGACAGACACACATTATAGTGGAGAGAGGAGGACAGACACACATTATAATGGAGAGAGGAGGACAGACACACATTATAGTGGAGAGAGGAGGACAGACATATTATAGTGGAGAGAGGAGGACAGACACACATTATAATGGAGAGAGGAGGACAGACACATTATAGTGGAGAGAGGAGGACAGAAACAGATTATAGTGGAGAGAGGAGGACAGAAACACATTATAGTGGAGAGAGGAGGACAGACATATTATAGTGGAGAGAGGAGGACGGACACACATTATAATGGAGAGAGGAGGACAGACACACATTATAGTGGAGAGAGGAGGACAGACACATTATAGTGGAGAGAGGAGGACATACATATTATAGTGGAGAGAGGAGGACAGACACACATTATAATGGAGAGAGGAGGACAGACATATTATAGTGGAGAGAGGAGGACAGACACACATTATAGTGGAGAGAGGAGGACAGACATATTATAATGGAGAGAGGAGGACAGACATATATAGTGGAGAGAGGAGGACAGACACACATTATAGTGGAGAGAGGAGGACAGACACATTATAATGGAGAGAGGAGGACAGACACATTATAGTGGAGAGAGGAGGACAGACACATTATAGTGGAGAGAGGAGGACAGACACACATTATAGTGGAGAGAGGAGGACAGACACACATTATAGTGGAGAGACGAGGACAGACACACATTATAGTGGAGAGAGGAGGACAGACACACATTATAGTGGAGAGAGGAGGACAGACACACATTATAGTGGAGAGAGGCGGACAGACACACATTATAGTGGAGAGAGGAGGACAGACACATTATAATGGAGAGAGGAGGACAGACACACATTATAGTGGAGAGAGGAGGACAGACACATTATAATGGAGAGAGGAGGACAGACACACATTATAGTGGAGAGAGGAGGACAGACACACATTATAATGGAGAGAGGAGGACAGACACACATTATAGTGGAGAGAGGAGGACAGACACATTATAGTGGAGAGAGGAGGACAGAAACACATTATAGTGGAGAGAGGAGGACAGACATATTATAGTGGAAGGGGAGGACAGACACACATTATAATGGAGAGAGGAGGACAGACACATTATAGTGGAGAGAGGAGGACAGAAACAGATTATAGTGGAGAGAGGAGGACAGAAACACATTATAGTGGAGAGAGGAGGACAGACATATTATAGTGGAGAGAGGAGGACAGACACACATTATAATGGAGAGAGGAGAACAGACACACATTATAGTGGAGAGAGGAGGACAGACACATTATAGTGGAGAGAGGAGGACATACATATTATAGTGGAGAGAGGAGGACAGACACACATTATAATGGAGAGAGGAGGACAGACATATTATAGTGGAGAGAGGAGGACAGACACACATTATAGTGGAGAGAGGAGGACAGACATATTATAATGGAGAGAGGAGGACAGACATATTATAGTGGAGAGAGGAGGACAGACACACATTATAGTGGAGAGAGGAGGACAGACACATTATAATGGAGAGAGGAGGACAGACACATTATAGTGGAGAGAGGAGGACAGACACATTATAGTGGAGAGAGGAGGACAGACACACATTATAGTGGAGAGAGGAGGACAGACACACATTATAGTGGAGAGACGAGGACAGACACACATTATAGTGGAGAGAGGAGGACAGACACACATTATAGTGGAGAGAGGAGGACAGACACACATTATAGTGGAGAGAGGAGGACAGACACACATTATAGTGGAGAGAGGAGGACAGACACATTATAGTGGAGAGAGGAGGACAGAAACACATTATAGTGGAGAGAGGAGGACAGACATATTATAGTGGAGAGAGGAGGACAGACACACATTATAATGGAGAGAGGAGGACAGACACATTATAGTGGAGAGAGGAGGACAGAAACAGATTATAGTGGAGAGAGGAGGACAGAAACACATTATAGTGGAGAGAGGAGGACAGACATATTATAGTGGAGAGAGGAGGACAGACACACATTATAATGGAGAGAGGAGGACAGACACACATTATAGTGGAGAGAGGAGGACAGACACATTATAGTGGAGAGAGGAGGACATACATATTATAGTGGAGAGAGGAGGACAGACACACATTATAATGGAGAGAGGAGGACAGACATATTATAGTGGAGAGAGGAGGACAGACACACATTATAGTGGAGAGAGGAGGACAGACATATTATAATGGAGAGAGGAGGACAGACATATTATAGTGGAGAGAGGAGGACAGACACACATTATAGTGGAGAGAGGAGGACAGACACATTATAATGGAGAGAGGAGGACAGACACATTATAGTGGAGAGAGGAGGACAGACACATTATAGTGGAGAGAGGAGGACAGACACACATTATAGTGGAGAGAGGAGGACAGACACACATTATAGTGGAGAGACGAGGACAGACACACATTATAGTGGAGAGAGGAGGACAGACACACATTATAGTGGAGAGAGGAGGACAGACACACATTATAGTGGAGAGAGGCGGACAGACACACATTATAGTGGAGAGAGGAGGACAGACACATTATAATGGAGAGAGGAGGACAGACACACATTATAGTGGAGAGAGGAGGACAGACACATTATAATGGAGAGAGGAGGACAGACACACATTATAGTGGAGAGAGGAGGACAGACACACATTATAATGGAGAGAGGAGGACAGACACACATTATAGTGGAGAGAGGAGGACAGACACATTATAGTGGAGAGAGGAGGACAGAAACACATTATAGTGGAGAGAGGAGGACAGACATATTATAGTGGAAGGGGAGGACAGACACACATTATAATGGAGAGAGGAGGACAGACACATTATAGTGGAGAGAGGAGGACAGAAACAGATTATAGTGGAGAGAGGAGGACAGAAACACATTATAGTGGAGAGAGGAGGACAGACATATTATAGTGGAGAGAGGAGGACAGACACACATTATAATGGAGAGAGGAGAACAGACACACATTATAGTGGAGAGAGGAGGACAGACACATTATAGTGGAGAGAGGAGGACATACATATTATAGTGGAGAGAGGAGGACAGACACACATTATAATGGAGAGAGGAGGACAGACATATTATAGTGGAGAGAGGAGGACAGACACACATTATAGTGGAGAGAGGAGGACAGACATATTATAATGGAGAGAGGAGGACAGACATATTATAGTGGAGAGAGGAGGACAGACACACATTATAGTGGAGAGAGGAGGACAGACACATTATAATGGAGAGAGGAGGACAGACACATTATAGTGGAGAGAGGAGGACAGACACATTATAGTGGAGAGAGGAGGACAGACACACATTATAGTGGAGAGAGGAGGACAGACACACATTATAGTGGAGAGACGAGGACAGACACACATTATAGTGGAGAGAGGAGGACAGACACACATTATAGTGGAGAGAGGAGGACAGACACACATTATAGTGGAGAGAGGAGGACAGACACACATTATAGTGGAGAGAGGAGGACAGACATATTATAGTGGAGAGAGGAGGCCAGACACACATTATAATGGAGAGAGGAGGACAGACATATTATAGTGGAGGGAGGAGGACAGACATATTATAGTGGAGAGAGGAGGCCAGACACACATTATAATGGAGAGAGGAGGACAGACACACATTATAGTGGAGAGAGGAGGACAGACATATTATAGTGGAGAGAGGAGGACAGACACACATTATAATGGAGAGAGGAGGACAGACATATTATAGTGGAGAGAGGAGGACAGACACACATTATAGTGGAGAGAGGAGGACAGACACATTATAATGGAGAGAGGAGGACAGACACACATTATAGTGGAGAGAGGAGGACAGACACACATTATAGTGGAGAGAGGAGGACACACACACATTATAGTGGAGAGAGGAGGACAGACACATTATAGTGGAGAGAGGAGGACAGAAACACATTATAGTGGAGAGAGGAGGACAGAAACACATTATAGTGGAGAGAGGAAGACAGACATATTATAGTGGAGAGAGGAGGGACAGACACACATTATAATGGAGAGAGGAGGACAGACATATTATAGTGGAGAGAGGAGGACAGACACACATTATAGTGGAGAGAGGAGGACAGACATATTATAATGGAGAGAGGAGGACAGACATATTATAGTGGAGAGAGGAGGACAGACACACATTATAGTGGAGAGAGGAGGACAGACACATTATAATGGAGAGAGGAGGACAGACACATTATAGTGGAGTGAGGAGGACAGACACATTATAGTGGAGAGAGGAGGACAGACACATTATAGTGGAGAGAGGAGGACAGGACACTTTATAGTGGAGAGAGGAGGACAGACACACATTATAGTGGAGAGAGGAGGACAGACACACATTATAGTGGAGAGAGGAGGACAGACACACATATAGTGGAGAGAGGAGGACAGACACATTATAGTGGAGAGGAGGAGGAGAGACACTTTATAGTGGAGAGAGGAGGACAGACACACATTATAGTGGAGAGAGGAGGACAGACACACATTATAGTGGAGAGAGGAGGACAGACACATTATAGTGGAGAGAGGACAGACACATTATAGTGGAGAGAGGAGGACAGACACACATTATAGTGGAGAGAGGAGGACAGACACACATTATAGTGGAGAGAGGAGGACAGACACACATTATAGTGGAGAGAGGAGGACAGACACACATTATAGTGGAGAGAGAAGGACAGACACACATTACAGTGGAGAGAGGAGGACAGACACAGTATAGTGGAGAGAGGAGGAGAGACACTTTATAGTGGAGAGAGGAGGACAGACACACATTATAGTGGAGAGAGGAGGACAGACACACATTATAGTGGAGAGAGGAGGACATACACACATTATAGTGGAGAGAGGAGGACAGACACATTATAATGGAGAGAGGAGGACAGACACACATTATAGTGGAGAGAGGAGGACAGACACACATTATAGTGGAGAGAGGAGGACAGACACACATTATAGTGGAGAGAGGAGGACAGACACACATTATAGTGGAGAGAGGAGGACAGACACATTATAGTGGAGAGAGGAGGACAGAAACACATTATAGTGGAGAGAGGAGGACAGACATATTATAGTGGAGAGAGGAGGACAGACACACATTATAATGGAGAGAGGAGGACAGACACATTATAGTGGAGAGAGGAGGACAGAAACATATTATAGTGGAGAGAGGAGGACAGAAACACATTATAGTGGAGAGAGGAGGACAGACATATTATAGTGGAGAGAGGAGGACAGACACACATTATAATGGAGAGAGGAGGACAGACACACATTATAGTGGAGAGAGGAGGACAGACACATTATAGTGGAGAGAGGAGGACATACATATTATAGTGGAGAGAGGAGGATAGACACACATTATAATGGAGAGAGGAGGACAGACATATTATAGTGGAGAGAGGAGGACAGACACACATTATAGTGGAGAGAGGAGGACAGACATATTATAATGGAGAGAGGAGGACAGACATATTATAGTGGAGAGAGGAGGACAGACACACATTATAGTGGAGAGAGGAGGACAGACACATTATAATGGAGAGAGGAGGACAGACACATTATAGTGGAGAGAGGAGGACAGACACACATTATAGTGGAGAGAGGAGGACAGACACACATTATAGTGGAGAGACGAGGACAGACACACATTATAGTGGAGAGAGGAGGACAGACACACATTATAGTGGAGAGAGGAGGACAGACACACATTATAGTGGAGAGAGGCGGACAGACACACATTATAGTGGAGAGAGGAGGACAGACACATTATAATGGAGAGAGGAGGACAGACACACATTATAGTGGAGAGAGGAGGACAGACACATTATAATGGAGAGAGGAGGACAGACACACATTATAGTGGAGAGAGGAGGACAGACACACATTATAATGGAGAAAGGAGGACAGACACACATTATAGTGGAGAGAGGAGGACAGACACATTATAGTGGAGAGAGGAGGACAGAAACACATTATAGTGGAGAGAGGAGGACAGACATATTATAGTGGAAGGGGAGGACAGACACACATTATAATGGAGAGAGGAGGACAGACACATTATAGTGGAGAGAGGAGGACAGAAACAGATTATAGTGGAGAGAGGAGGACAGAAACACATTATAGTGGAGAGAGGAGGACAGACATATTATAGTGGAGAGAGGAGGACAGACACACATTATAATGGAGAGAGGAGGACAGAAACACATTATAGTGGAGAGAGGAGGACAGACACATTATAGTGGAGAGAGGAGGACATACATATTATAGTGGAGAGAGGAGGACAGACACACATTATAATGGAGAGAGGAGGACAGACATATTATAGTGGAGAGAGGAGGACAGACACACATTATAGTGGAGAGAGGAGGACAGACATATTATAATGGAGAGAGGAGGACAGACATATTATAGTGGAGAGAGGAGGACAGACACACATTATAGTGGAGAGAGGAGGACAGACACATTATAATGGAGAGAGGAGGACAGACACATTATAGTGGAGAGAGGAGGACAGACACATTATAGTGGAGAGAGGAGGACAGACACACATTATAGTGGAGAGAGGAGGACAGACACACATTATAGTGGAGAGACGAGGACAGACACACATTATAGTGGAGAGAGGAGGACAGACACACATTATAGTGGAGAGAGGAGGACAGACACACATTATAGTGGAGAGAGGAGGACAGACACACATTATAGTGGAGAGAGGAGGACAGACATATTATAGTGGAGAGAGGAGGCCAGACACACATTATAATGGAGAGAGGAGGACAGACATATTATAGTGGAGGGAGGAGGACAGACATATTATAGTGGAGAGAGGAGGCCAGACACACATTATAATGGAGAGAGGAGGACAGACACACATTATAGTGGAGAGAGGAGGACAGACATATTATAGTGGAGAGAGGAGGACAGACACACATTATAATGGAGAGAGGAGGACAGACATATTATAGTGGAGAGAGGAGGACAGACACACATTATAGTGGAGAGAGGAGGACAGACACATTATAATGGAGAGAGGAGGACAGACACACATTATAGTGGAGAGAGGAGGACAGACACACATTATAGTGGAGAGAGGAGGACACACACACATTATAGTGGAGAGAGGAGGACAGACACATTATAGTGGAGAGAGGAGGACAGAAACACATTATAGTGGAGAGAGGAGGACAGAAACACATTATAGTGGAGAGAGGAAGACAGACATATTATAGTGGAGAGAGGAGGACAGACACACATTATAATGGAGAGAGGAGGACAGACATATTATAGTGGAGAGAGGAGGACAGACACACATTATAGTGGAGAGAGGAGGACAGACATATTATAATGGAGAGAGGAGGACAGACATATTATAGTGGAGAGAGGAGGACAGACACACATTATAGTGGAGAGAGGAGGACAGACACATTATAATGGAGAGAGGAGGACAGACACATTATAGTGGAGTGAGGAGGACAGACACATTATAGTGGAGAGAGGAGGACAGACACATTATAGTGGAGAGAGGAGGACAGACACTTTATAGTGGAGAGAGGAGGACAGACACACATTATAGTGGAGAGAGGAGGACAGACACACATTATAGTGGAGAGAGGAGGACAGACACACATTATAGTGGAGAGAGGAGGACAGACACATTATAGTGGAGAGAGGAGGAGAGACACTTTATAGTGGAGAGAGGAGGACAGACACACATTATAGTGGAGAGAGGAGGACAGACACACATTATAGTGGAGAGAGGAGGACAGACACACATTATAGTGGAGAGACGAGGACAGACACATTATAGTGGAGAGAGGAGGACAGACACACATTATAGTGGAGAGAGGAGGACAGACACACATTATAGTGGAGAGAGGAGGACAGACACACATTATAGTGGAGAGAGGAGGACAGACACACATTATAGTGGAGAGAGGAGGACAGACACACATTATAGTGGAGAGAGGAGGACAGACACACATTATAGTGGAGAGAGGAGGACAGACACACATTATAGTGGAGAGAGGAGGACAGACACACATTATAGTGGAGAGAGAAGGACAGACACACATTACAGTGGAGAGAGGAGGACAGACACAGTATAGTGGAGAGAGGAGGAGAGACACTTTATAGTGGAGAGAGGAGGACAGACACACATTATAGTGGAGAGAGGAGGACAGACACACATTATAGTGGAGAGAGGAGGACATACACACATTATAGTGGAGAGACGAGGACAGACACATTATAGTGGAGAGAGGAGGACAGACACACATTATAGTGGAGAGAGGAGGACAGACACACATTATAGTGGAGAGAGGAGGACAGACACACATTATAGTGGAGAGAGGAGGACAGACACTTTATAGTGGAGAGAGGAGGACAGACACACATTATAGTGGAGAGAGGAGGACAGACATATTATAGTGGAGAGAGGAGGACAGACACACATTATAGTGGAGAGAGGAGGACAGACACACATTATAGTGGAGAGAGGAGGACAGACACACATTATAGTGGAGAGAGAAGGACAGACACACATTATAATGGAGAGACGAGGACAGACACACATTATAGTGGAGAGAGGAGGACAGACAGACATTATAGTGAAGAGAGGAGGACAGACACACATTATAGTGGAGAGAGGAGGACAGACACATTATAGTGGAGAGAGGATTACAGTCAGATGCCCTAGAACTACATCTGACAATAACTGAATCACTACTAGAATGAAACCAAGAGGCTTCAGCAAGTTTATACCCCACATACCACCACCGAGATAATCCCTTAGAGTACCCGTCCATTTCACAGAATAACTAGGCTAAACACTAGAGATGGTATACAGCTTGGAGAATGGCTATGCACCGGACAATGTTACAGCTTTAACTATAAGCAGAGTCCATAATTGCCTCTCATGTCGCATTGCTTTAATAATTCATTCTGTCAGACAGGGAGGCATGCGATGTTGTTTACGTTGTCGCCTGGTGTGTGTGTGTTGTGTCGCCTGGTGTGTGTGTGTTGCGTCGCCTGGTGTGTGTGTGTTTGTCGCCTGTTGTGTGTGTGTTGCGTCGCCTGGTGTGTGTGTGTTGCGTCGCCTGGTGTGTGTGTGTCAAGTCGCCTGGTGTGTGTGTGTTGCGTCGCCTGGTGTGTGTGTCAAGTCGCCTGTTGTGTGTGTCAAGTCGCCTGGTGTGTGTGTGTTGTATCGCCTGGTGTGTGTTTGTCGCGTCGCCTGGTGTGTGTGTGTTGTGTCGCCTGGTGTGTGTGTCGCGTCGCCTGGTGTGTGTGTGTCGCGTCGCCTGGTGTGTGTGTGTCGCGTCGCCTGGTGTGTGTGTGTCGCGTCGCCTGGTGTGTGTGTGTTGTGTCGCCTGGTGTGTGTGTTGCGTCGCCTGGTGTGTGTGTGTTGCGTCGCCTGGTGTGTGTGTGTTGCGTCGCCTGGTGTGTGTGTCGCGTCGCCTGGTGTGTGTGTGTTGCGTCGCCTGGTGTGTGTGTGTCGCGTCGCCTGGTGTGTGTGTGTTGCGTCGCCTGGTGTGTGTGTGTTGCGTCGCATGGTGTGCGGGCCTCATTAGAGCTCATTTACCATTAATTATTCCAGTGACCCTTCTGCTGCATCGCCGTGGTAACCCAGTGCTAGCGACAAACTGGAGGGGTAAGGGGGTCGCATCGCACTGCCTGATGGGAGTGGCAGCAGAATACACACCATAGATAGTCTCCATGATTTCCCCCATCATTAAAGATTGTGAAAGATAGATAACGAACTGCCCAGGGCATACAGCACTAAAAGGGCTTTATTAAAACCTATTGTCTTCCTGTGTTTTGACATTTTGAAGCCACCATTTTATGATCCACCTGTTGAGCTGTTGGCTGGTTAATGGACAGGTTTGAGTTCATCTGACTAAATATATCCTTTTCATATCCAGGCTAATCCTGATTTTGCACTCTGACGACTTGAATACGTTGACAACTGTGATCTTTTGTTAACTACTCTTGGAAAGTCTGTCACACATCCTGCTGTGATTTCATTCCGTAATGAACATACATCAAGGTTCTGAGTGACAGCGAACTGAACCAAATACTTTCTGGCACTGATATTATTTTCTAAAGGTCATTAATTAATGGAGCTCTGGGAATAAATGTAAAACAGGGATTTATAGCATGTCAGTATCAATTTAGTTAGTAACGAAGCGGTCGCCTTGCCCTGACCTTCATTAAAACATGGAGTGCAAGCTAATGTAGAACACAGCAGAACGGCAGGAAGAACCGCAGGGAAGAACACTGCAGAACCGCAGGACAGAACCACAGGGCAGAACACTGCAGGGCAGAACCGCCAGCCTGCCTCCCAGCTCCATGGGTACTGCCTTATGATGGAGGATTTGTTCAGGGGCAGAAATGTGAATACAGTTTTTGTGAAAAAGTGCAGTATCCTGGTGTGTGTGTGTATCCGTGGTGGCTCCTCAGAGGAGGAAGGGGAGGACCATCCTCCTCAGTGAATTTAATAAAAATAAAAATAGTGAAACTATACTAAGTATATTCAAATTACCAAATAATTGATTAAAACACACTGTTTTGCAATGAAGGTCTACAGTAGCCTCAACAGCACTCTGAAGGGTAGCACCATGGTGTAGCCGGAGGACAGCTACCTCCGTCCTCCTCTGGGTACATTGACTTCAATACAAAACCTAGTGGGCTCATGGTCCTTCTTCCAAAAATAGTGAAAAGCAAGAGAGAGGGGTAGCTATATTTGGTTGTGTTTTTTCTTTTTTCTTCTCACTTTCACTTAGCTAGCGAATGCAGCTAGCTAGTTTAGCCTACTCAAACACCCGGCTCAAACAGAGAGGGATGCTATGCTAGCTAGCTGGCTATGGCTATCCAACACCGGAACTCTTCCAAGTCAAGGTAAGCTTTTGGCTTTTATTAATTTACGGTCTAACTGTTAAACGGCTTTCTGACTGCACATTGTACTGCATGATTGTAGCGGGTTTACTAATGTGTTAGTTCTCGTAGCTATGTTGACTATGACGTGACATCGATGTAGGCTGTTTGTAGTGGTTAGCGGTCATGATATGAAGGTTTGGCTTGGAAAATTTGAGTATCATGTAGTAGCCTAAACCTATCGATGTTAGTTACATTGAGCTGGTTGAATGGAATATGAATGACAGTCATCCAATATGCTGTAATATAAATAAGGCCTTGCTCATGAAAGAAAAACGGCTGTATGTGTGTGCGTGTAAATCCTTAGTGTTCCCTCTCTCTCAGTCCATTTATCTCCCTAATAAACCAACCTCGTCTCAGAGCATTTCATATTATTCTGTACGTAAATCCAAGACAGTCTATTTATTATGATACATTATGTTATATTTGGTATGGTTAAATAAGAGCGATGGTAACCTTTTATTTTTTATCTTTATTTATTTTTTAGGGGGTAGATCAGCTTTAATATTGCAGATAGATTGTAGCTTCCATCAATGTAAATGTCTGCATCACTTACAATCCCCCATATATTTTTTGGCATATATATATATATATATATATATATATATATATATATATATATATATATATATATATATACAGTGGGGAGAACAAGTATTTGATACACTGCCGATTTTGCAGGTTTTCCTACTTACAAAGCATGTAGAGGTCTGTAATTTTTATCATAGGTACACTTCAACTGTGAGAGACGGAATCAAAAAAAAATAATCCAGAAAATCACATTGTATGATTTTTAAGTAATTAATTAGCTTTTTATTGCATGACATAAATATTTGATCACCTACCAACCAGTAAGAATTCCGGCTCTCACAGACCTGTTAGTTTTTCTTTAAGAAGCCCTTCTGTTCTCCACTCATTACCTGTATTAACTGCACCTGTTTGAACTCGTTACCTGTATAAAAGACACCTGTCCACACACTCAATCAAACAGACTCCAACCTCTCCACAATGGCCAAGACCAGAGCGCTGTGTAAGGACATCAGGGTTAAAATTGTAGACCTGCACAAGGCTGGGATGGGCTAGAGGACAATAGGCAAGCAGCTTGGTGAGAAGGCAACAACTGTTGGCGCAATTATTAGAAAATGGAAGAAGTTCAAGATGACGGTCAATCACCCTCGGTCTGGGGCAAAAATCCAGAAACTCACATTGTATGATTTTTAAGTAATTAATTTGCTTTTTATTGCATGACATAAGTATTTGATACATCAGAAAAGCAGAACTTAATATTTGGTACAGAAACCTTTGTTTGCAATTACAGAGATCATACGTTTCCTGTAGATCTTGACCAGGTTTGCACACACTGCAGCAGGGATTTTTGCATACAGACCTTCTCCAGATCCTTCAGGTTTCGGGGCTGTCGCTGGGCAATACGGACTCTCAGCTCCCTCCAAAGATTTCTATTGGGTTCAGGTCTGGAGACTGGCTAGGCCACTCCAGGACCTTGAGATGCTTCTTACGGAGCCACTCCTTAGTTGCCCTGGCTGTGTGTTTCGGGTCGTTGTCATGCTGGAAGACCCAGCCCCGACCCATCTTCAATGCTCTTACTGAGGGAAGGAGGTTGTTGGCCAAGATCTAGCGATACATGGCCCCTTCCATCCTCCCCTCAATACGGTGCAGTCGTCCTGTCCCCTTTGCAGAAAAGCATCCCCAAATAATGATTTTTCCACCTCCATGCTTCACGGTTGGGATGGTGTTCTTGGGGTTGTACTCATCCTTCTTCTTCCTCCAAACACGGCGAGTGGAGTTTAGACCAAAAATATATATATTTTTGTCTCATCAGACCAAATGACCTTCTCCCATTCCTCCTCTGGATCATCCAGATGGTCATTGGCAAACTTCAGACGGGCCTGGACATGCGCTGGCTTGAGCAGGGGGACCTTGCATGCGCTGCAGGATTTTAAAGGATTTTAATGACGGCGTAGTGTGTTACTAATGGTTTTCTTTGAGACTGTGGTCCCAGCTCTCTTCAGGTCATTGACAAGGTCCTGCCATGTAATTCTGGGCTGATCCCTCACCTTCCTCATGATCATTGATGCCCCACGAGGTGAGATCTTGCATGGAGCACCAGACCGAGGGTGATTGACCGTCATCTTGAACTTCTTCCATTTTCTAATAATTGCGCCAGCAGTTGTTGCCTTCTCACCAAGCTGCTTGCCTATTGTCCTGTAGCCCATCCCAGCCTTGTGCAGGTCTACAATTTTAAACCTGATGTCCTTACACAGCGCTCTGGTCTTGGCCATTGTGGAGAGGTTGGAGTCTGTTTGATTGAGTGTGTGGACAGGTGTCTTTTATACAGGTAACGAGTTCAAACAGGTGCAGTTAATATAGGTAATGAGTGGAGAACAGGAGGGCTTCTTAAAGAATAATTGCACGTGGTGGTTATGATTCTACGTTCATTAGCCAACAAAAGCCTATGATCCTAGGGAAGGCCAGCAGTCTACGATGCAGCAACCAGAGGCGAGTGTTCGACAGAAAGAGGAAGAGGAGCGAGTAAGAGAGATGGAGGAGCCTCTTCAACACATTGAGACCAAGTCTCAGTCCACAAGATCAAGGTAATCAAAACAGTCAAGCAGATCCTCAACGGCGAGTTCTGCAGCCATCAAAGCACGTGCCAAGGTGGACGCAGCGCATGCTCAAGTCTCCTATGCTGAAAAGGAAGCTTCCGTGACGAAACAAAAGGCGGAACTGGCCTCCAGTTTTTTCAAGAGTTCATTTGTTAGGCTATTGGTTAAAAGTGCAACACATTATTTATTATTGAATTACCTTCGATCTAGTTCAGTCTTATTAATCACTTAATCATGTTTAATCATGATCTCTTAGCTAGCTTGATGACTGTGGGCAATTTTGCTTACTTTTTGTTCTAAATAGACGGCATATTAGGGCGGCAGGTAGCTTAGTGGTTAAGAGCGTTGTG